GTCTTCCATAACCAAGAACCTTCATGAGATGATTCAACCGCAATGGACTTGTTCTTGGTCCTTCTTGTCGCTTGGAATATCCTTCAACTTTAATACAGTAACAATAACTTTGATAAATATGTTCATACTAGAAATTAGTTTATCATTGAAACAATTGGTACATAATTTTTTGGGAGTTTCACTAAAACACCCAAAATGAGGGTTGAAATTATAAAAAAAACCCAAGCACTATTTAAACATATAAACACACCAAAAACCCATCATTACATACATTCAAAACCCATTTATAAACACACCCAAAAAGTTGACTTTGGGGTTGATTTTGGATGTGTTTCTATGTTTAAATAGTGCTTGAGTTTTTTTTATAAATACATGTATAGGATTAGGTTTATTTATAAATTTGTATAATTTTTTTTGGGCAAGTAGAGCATACTTTGTTGATGAATGTATATTGGCATTATGTATGAATTAGCAATATCAGATAAGTATGTCACATGATATATCATGCCATTATTAAAGAATTTTTTTTCCTTTTCAGAGACAAAGCTACACCTAACACTGCATACTTTGTTTCATCGAGCAACAATATCTAATTACCCATCCAAACCATCAAATATTTTCATTGGAGATTAAATGTGACAAATTCTAAAATCACAGCGTACCATTTCAAATTTTGAAACAGAGAGATCTCATTCCAAACTATTTACCCAATTAATAAGCAGTATAGTCATTTCATTAATTAATAACAGTAAGAGGAAATTAAACTAAAAAAAAAAGGAAGAGCAGAACAAAAATAGTCAAAATAGCACTAAGAACTAAAGAAATGATTAAAGCCACTTTTTACTTTGCCTAACTTCATTTGAAAATTATGATCCATTCAAGTTAGTAATTTAGAATATTAGGTTAAGATTATGCTTTCATATTTCAGTACTCAAGGAGTTGACATTCACAGAAACCCTTTTCAACCTTGGACTTGAACAAAAATGCACTTGAAGGAAGAAGGGTAGAGTTTTGTAGCTAATGACGTTTGATTATTCACACGCACTCGAAGAAAGAAGGCTAGGGTTTTGTCCAAACTGAGGAACAAATTATAGCCAGTGCAAATGTCTGTCCAAGGCCAATGGCAAGACCCTCAAATCGTTTGTTTAGCATCCAAAATTCCATATACTCAGACGAAATAATTACAATATCCAGGAGGAACCCCAAACTGAGGAACCCTAAAACCTCATACAAATCACCAAACATCTTAGGATTTTTCCTCATGTAAATCCTCATGTGCACATTTAGAAATATAATTGAATGAATATGATTGAAGTTCTTACCTTTGAGGTGGACTTTGCGACCCGACAAACAAGGGTTTGGGGGAGAGAAGGGCAGTCGACAGAGACAGTGAGAGTGAGCCAGAACTGTGAGTGAAGGAGGACACAGGTGAATTGAGTGAGTGAGAAGGCGGGAGAGAGTGAAACGCCAAGTTGAATTCAACCAAAGACAGAGGAGTAAGAGATAGCGCAAGAGTGAGAAACTGAAGTAGTTCCAATTTCATATTTTGAAAATTTTCGGGCTAGTTCTTCTTCACGGGTTCGTGGGCTTTAAGGAGGAGTAATACTTCAAAAATAACAACGGCACCCCACAATATTGTGTTTGGGCTTGGGGTATATGGTTAAAATATGAATTGGGTTTGGACTTTAGGGGTACAATTCAAATGGGTTTGGGTTTTCAGTTTGAATTGGGATTGGGCTTCACGGTTAAAATTGAATTGAGTTTGAACTTTAGGGTTAAAATTAAATTGGGTTGGGCTTTATGGTTAAAATTGAATTGGGTTTGGGCTTCAGGGATCGTATGAATTCGGTTTGGGCTTTAGGATTAAAATTCAAGGGTTTAGGGTTTAGGGTTTATGGTTAAAATAGAATTGGGTTAGGCTTTAGGGTTCAAATTGAATTCCTATTTGGGTTTTAGGGTTAAAATCAAATTCGGTTGGACTTTTAAGATCATATGAATTCGGTTTGGGATTTAGGGTTAAAATTCAAGGGTTTAGGGTTTACGGTTTCTGGTTTAAGGTTTGCAATTAAAATTGAATTGGATTGGGCTTTAGGGTTGACATTAAATTTCGGTTTGGCTTTTAGGGTTAAAATTAAATTGGGTTTAGTCTTTATAGTTAAAATTGAATTGGGTTGGGCTTTACAGTTACAATTGAATTGAGTTGGGCTTTAGGGTTCAAAGTATGGTTTATGGTTACAATTGTATTGGATTCAGGTTATAAAGTGTCCCCAGGCTTGGGTTTTAATCTTTTTAACTGTTTCAATTAGTTTGTAATTGGTATATATAGTTTTTTAAAATTAGCAATACTTTTACAAACAGTTGGAATTTCGACTGTCCATTAATTAGGAAAAATATTTATTTGAATTTGTTTTTTAAAAACTCTATCAAATGTTATTTGCAAAAAAAAAAAAAAAAAAAAAAAAAAGGTTATTTAAGGGAAGTATTTCTTTTAATTTTCAAATGTTTAAATAAATCAATTGCTTATCCCTTTTATTCCAAATGGACGATTTTACCTCTATATGTTTCTATAAAACAACCTCTCATGTCCAAAAAAATTTAGATCATCTTATCATACACTGTCTAACTTATCTATTTTCACCAAAATCATGGAAAAAAATAAGTGTGTTGTGAAGAAAGGATTTAGGGGTGATGTACCCAGTAATATGAAAATCACTACACGTGGTTTGTTTAGTGGTGCGAACAAAGCCATTAGACAAGGCTATGCAAGTGAACAAGTGAAGGACACTACAAAAAAAAGTATGGGTGGTTGCGGTTCGGTAACCGCGAATTTTTACTCAAACTGCAAACTGCAAACCGACCGACTATTTGCGGTTTAGTGATTTTTGAAACCGCAAACCGACCGCGTATTGCGGTTTACCGCAAAATGCGGTCGGTTACCGCGAATTAGCGGTTTAAAACCGTAAGTTCTCAAGCATTCACAAAAATATAAATTCACAACTTAAATAAATAAATACACAACGTCAATTTCTCAAGCATATATAAATTCACAATCTCCTCAACTTCTCAAGCATTCACAACCTAAGAAAATTAAAGTTACAATTACAAGCATTCCAATTAAAGTTAAACTTCTCAAGTATTCCAATTCCAAATCCTTTAAAGTTACAAACCAAAAGGAAAATGTAAAGTAAAATGAATTAAAGTTACAACCAAAAAGAAAAATCCAATTCAAAGCTAATTAAAGTTACAAACTAAAAAGAAAATGCAATGCACCAATGTTACAAACTAAAGTTACAAACTCAAGTGTTGGTGGTGAGTGGATTTGAAGAACCCCGTTGTGTTGTTTGAGCACCAATGTTATCTACAAATAAAACAACATAGTTTAGTACATTTTATTATAAGAATATTATCATAAATAAACTAATTACTTACAAGTTGTCATATGTTCCATTTCCTTGTAGAATTTCAGGGCCGAGAGACCTTCTGTGGTGCATCAGATGTACCGGTACAGCCGATCACGTGACTTTTTTTTAAAAACAAGGGAAACCTGCTGACCTGGTCAACAGGTAAACGATTTCACGCACTGCTGCTAAGGTCAATCGGTAAACGATTTCATGCCCACACCACTACAAAAAAAAGGGTCATTACCAACCAATTTTTTCCGAGGGCCTCGAATTCCCTCGGTAAAAGTGTTTTTTCCGACCAAAAAATTATGTCTGTCGAAAATACATCATGGGGCTGAAATTTATTTCCGACAAAAGAATTACCCTCGGAAATAGTCTCTAAGATCGTCGGAAATGTAATTTATTTGGCGGGAAAACTTTGCGCCAACTTTATTAACGACAAAAAACATTTTCGTAGGAAATAAGATGATTATTTCTGAGGGGCTACTCATTCCGTCGGAATTGTTTGATTATTTCCGAGGAGCTTCTCATTCCGTCGGAATTGTTTGACTATTTTTGGGGGGGCTTCTCATTTCCATTGGATTTTGTCTATGAACAAAATTGAGTTTTTAGTATTTCTTTGTATTTTTTAATTCAAAATTTATAGCTTTAAGGTGAAGAGAATTCACAAGGAGTTCCTAGGAATTTTTGTGTATTTTTCTGATTTTTAATTTATTTATTATGAATTATAGAAGTTAAATCTAAAAGAAATAATATGAAATAGAATGGATTGACACAAGTCATTCTCTTAAAGGCACTCCATCGGCGTTTTTGACAAGAGGCCTATAATATGTCGACACTTGTCATTTCTTTACTATTTATTGCTTTTATCTTAAACAATTCATTAAAATTAAATAAAAGGCATAAAGATGCACCGAAAATTGCTACAAACTCTTTATAAATTAGCCTTTGATTATGAAGATCTAAAATCATGATTCCACATGTTTGAGTTAATGAGAATCATTGGATCTAATAAATAAAAGTGTTATGAGATAGAATGTTTTGATTTGTATATGAACAAAGTTGAGTTTTCGTGCTCCATTATTGTTTGTGGTTGGTCAAACTCAAATACAACATTAATATATTAGAACATCATTAAATCAATGGTACCAAGCTCTAAGAGTGTTAAACGAGTGTTTGAGTTAAAAAGAATGTCTGGTTCCTCCATTGATTCCACATGTTTAGGTTAATCAGAATCATTGGATCTAATTAACAAGAGTGTTATATGATAGAATGTTTTGATTTGTCTATAAACAAAGTTGTGTTTTGTTATTACTTCATATTTTTATAATTCAAAAATTAGATTTTTAGAGTTTTAAGGTGAAGAGGATGTCGCAAGGAGATTTTTCAGTATATTTTTCTTATTTTAAAATTTATTTGTTATGAGGTTTGTTCGAGGAACGCTAAATATCCTCGGTATTAAATTTTGCGCCTCTTTCCCCCAAATTTTTTTCGCGTACCGCCCAATTTTTTGCTTCAATCAAATATTGCGCCTAACACTGCAAAAAAAATAAATAAACTAAACTAAACTAAACACAAAACAAAACCCTAACTCGCTCTATCTCATCCTTCATGACCCAAACCTTCCCTTCCTCCCCATCTACAAACTCTCCAGTTCTCACCAATCTCACTTTGAGTTGAACCCACACCCACCATCGCTCCATTTTTGCCGTCGTTGCTCCAATCGAAGAAGCCATACGCCGTCGTCATCGTCGTCTCCTCTCAACATCTAGTTGCCGGCGCCTATATCTCAATTTTAGGTAAGTTCCATCCCGTCTCATCTAATCTCGGTTTGATACCCAGCCTCTGCCTCTATCTCTCATCTCCATCCTCTTTCATCTCTCAATTGGTGTCACCGATTAAATCTCAGAGGCAAAGCAGTTCACTCTCTCTCTGGTAAGTGTCTCTTCCTTAGGATTTTTGGGCTTTCAGTTTTGAAATGAAATTGTGGGGTTTGAAGTGAATTGGTAAGCGTCTACTTTGTTGCTCTGAATTGAAATTAGGGCTTATAACTTACATTGCAGTAAGTGCATACTTATAACAATTGCTGCTTCCATTTCTCACTTTCATAAATGCCAATGCAGACATCTATAGAGTAATATGGTTTTTTATTTATTTATTTATTTATCATAATCAATCTCAGTATTGTTGGAGCATAACATGCAGCACTTAACTAGAGCAAGCTAAAAAATTTGCTGGCTCTGTGATTACCATGTTATTTCTTCTTTGGTTCTTCTCTGTGTACTCGTTTATCATTATTTAATTAGTTGTGTTTTGCAGGAGTTTTTGGCCAGAGTTAGAGAGCTTTAGCGATAAAGGATTAGAGCTTCAGCGATATTGGTGAGAATTTTAATTTTTATTCTTTATCAAACATATAATTATTTTTTTTTCTTATATCAATAGAGTCATTTGGTTTTTGGGGCCATATATCGAGATTATCAAAACAACCCTTTTGCTGGCATTAGCTGGGAAGTTGGACCCAAGCTTGAAGGTCAGTCCTCAGCTTCACCGTGTGCTTTGAACCAATTTAATTATCATTAGCTTGACCTGTTATACTATAATATAAAAATATTTTCAAACAATTTTTCAATCTGGGTCTTTAATTAGACATGAGATCTGTTGAACAAGGTAGAGGAGAAATCACTTATAATGGATATATGCTAAATGAATTTGTGCCACAGAAGACATCTGCATATATTATCCAAAATGATGTTCATATGGGAGAATTGACAGTCAAAGAAACTCTAGACTTTTCGGCAAGGTACCAAGGGGTTGGGACGTGATATGGTTAGTAACTGCAGCCAAACCAAAACAAATCATATCATAATCCATTATCAAAGTAACTCTCTTCATTTTAATGTAACTTTGGAAATGAATTTGGTAGCATTTTAACAAAAGTTATGCATGTGGCATAGAACTTTGTGGGCTTGCTAGAAGAGAAAAGGAGGCTGGGATATTTTCAGAGCCAGAAGTAGACATTTTCATGAATGTATATATTTATGCGATTTCACTAAACCCTGCCTTCAATGCATTGATTTTTAAGCTTATATATCTGAATTTCTGGTTTTTTTTTTTTTTTTTTTTCAGGTTACTTCAATGGGAGGAGTTGAGAGTAGTCTCATTACTGACTATACTCTCAGAGTAAGTAAATCTCATCTCAAAATGAAATCACTCTTCTTTCTAATTTGTCACCAACTTTACTCACTGCTGGTTAGCCTCTTTGATTTCCTTGCACTTTGACCTGTGACAACCATTTTGTCTTTGAAAGTCTTTTTTATTCTTAGAAACCACTGAAATGCTTTAGTTTTTAAATGTGAGAAATGAAGAATCTTCCTATTAGTTTGTTGATGTAACGTCTTTACAGGTTTACTTGAGACCTGACATTGGAGTTCTTATGTTTATAATCTTAGTTTAATCTCAGTGGAGTTTTTAGTTTTGTCTGAGCTGGAGTTTGCATGTTCTCAATGTGTTTCTGTTGGAATTCCCCAGAGGGCAGCATCTTCATGAATATCAAAGTTATTGATAAAATTAAATGCTACTGGGGCATTCAGGAAGACTGCAAGTTGAGAGACTTAGTGGTGAAAGATGGTATGGGGTAATCAGTAATGTAACAATATGTTTCAGTTCAATATGAATCTAATATTTACTCTCAGGTTTTAGTCGCCTTGAGTTTGTATCTATTTTTTTGTTATTTCATTACTCTGTCATGTATTGTTTTCTTTCTTGATATATTTGATTTAACACATTGACTAAAAGTTTGTTTTGGTAACAAAACTAGCTCTGTTCTTGTTTTTGTAGGATTAACAATGTTATTGTTAATGGGAAGCAGAAGCAGCCCATCATTAGTGATGATTCCAACGAAGCTATGAAGCATGCTTTCGAACTCTTTAATGTTTGATTGGAAGTAGGCTTTGGGACTAGTGATATAGGACATAGCTTAGGATTGTAATGAATATTTGTAATTTATTACATTTGTCTTTTGTTAATGATGATAGATACTATTTTTCGAACAACAATTTCTCAATTGAAATGTTATTCATAGTTTTGGACCAAATTTGTGTACGTTTAATGCAAATAAATGTAGTTGGAAAAACATTTTCGACAAACTTCCATGTCGAGAAACCACAATTCCAACGAATTATATTTATCACAAATAGTAATTGAGGGTCGGAAATACTAGAAGTTTTGCCGTCGAAAAAGGGTATTTCCTACGACAAAAGGCTTTTTGCTATGAAAAAATGCCTTTGCTAAAAGCATTCTGTTTTGTAGGGGGAGTTGGTTCCCGTGGTGCGTTTTGTGCCTGAAATAATGACATGATATGTCCTCCTACAGAAAATTGTCTGCCACTTTCTGATCCGATAGATCCACCTCCGCCAATTATTGAGCCCTACTTATACTCAAATGTGTCGGAGTATGACGACCGAGAACCCCTTACGTGTATGATGTGGGGGAATCTTTATTTTCTTATAAAGCTAATGATACGATATGTGTAATCTTCAAATGTCGGGGTAGTGTGCATTGCCTAGGTGAGTGACATATGTAGGTTGTTGGATAATTGGTGCTACAACATATAACACCCATACCAGCTTTAGGAATTGTGAGCACTATGCTCCATAAGTTGTTATGGTGCTACGTGACTACTTGGTTAATATACATTTTCCACCTTGCGCAAGTTTGCACCCAAAATTTTGTCAAACCTCGAAGGCCTTTCTTGTTAGGCATGGTTAATGTAGACTTGGATCCTGACAAGGTTGATAACTTTAGAAGTTGCTAGATCTTAAGGGTTATTTCTTGTTGTGTCTGGTTGTTGTTGGTATTTATCCTAACCAGGAGGTGGGCTTTGCCTACTAGTGCAATATTCTCACTCATCAATCATTTTCCTACATGCATATTAGTCATTCAATCTCCTATCTTCCTCATCAATGGATCTGAATTCAACAACTCCCTCCTACAACTTATTGCCTTTACAGAACACATCATCATCCTTTTATACTCATAGTTGTACGAGGATGAAAGGATTTACCTCTAGATGCGCCATTTCATATTCCTAGCAAAATATAACATAAATTTCCATATGGTGTTTTGAGAACCATGTTGGATTTTTCATCAATGCCATTTGATTTAACAAATTCAGTGGAATAGTCATATAAAAATTGGCACGCATTACATGAGTTTCTGTAAGCTCTATCATGAAGGATGAATGATTTCTTAAGGTTGAGGGTGTCATCCTATTGTTAGCAAGATTCATAATACGTGGAAACTTCTTCACATAGTCATGTGAGCCGCACACTTCACACTAAAAATTTATTAACACTAAAACCTAATTAAACCAGCCACTATTCCTAAGCACAGTGAAAGGACTTAATTACCCCCATTTTACTACTTTTTACCGCTTTTTTGTCCTAGAGCACAAAGAAATAACCAAATTACCCATCTCTAAAACTTTTATGTCTTTCCTTTTTTGCCCATTCCCCTTCGAATCCTGTTGATTGCGACTGTCTCGTTCGCTTAGAGAAATGCATAATTTATAACCAGGCTGGTTGGGGGACAAGAATGGGAGATCCGGCTTCATTGTTGAAGATCCGCTTTGGGGTAGTGTACTGTGAATTGAACTGTCGTTTTAGTCTTCATTTGATCATTTTTCCACTAAGTTGTTATGTTTGAGTGCTTGGTCTTTCAGTCCGTTCTTGTTAAAAGGTGGAAGGTTGTTTAACAATTCTTGGTAGATTCTTATACAACACTTAAAGAAGATTGATTGGATTACATTAGAATTTTTATTTTTTTATTTTTAGAAGTGAGGTTTGTAAAGGTATTTATGATGCATTTTCAAAGGGTGATTTGAAGACATGCTTAATAATTATCAATATGCTATGGAAATTTGAAGACAATATGGTCATTCTTATTTGTTTATAACCTTCACCTAGAATGTCAAATGACCTGAAACTGTAAGATAGCTTGATAGGAAACCTTGATACAAGCCAGAGGATATACCTGATTTAGTTTCTAGATTATTTAAAATGAAATTTGATGATATGATCAGTTATATCAAATAAGGAAAACCTTTTGGAGAAACTGAGGCAGGTGAATTATAATACTCACCATTTTTGTTTGGTTATGGTGCATGTTATGTTATACTCTTTGGTGGGTGCAGAGTGTAAAGTTATGTTTTCTTTTTTGTTTAGATAAGGCAATACTCCTAAACTTATTTTCATTATTATAGTCCATATTACAAACTACATATATATATATATATTTTGTTATTTTTACTAAAACTTTGTCAGTTATCTACACTGACAAGTGCCATTTTTCCAATTTGTAAAACCAAAGTGAAAACACATGTACATGAGAAGAAAGAAGAGAAGCCACCTCTACAACCGGGCTAAGAAAAGAAAAATCCCCTTCCAGATGACATAAAAACTAGTGATAGACCAAAAAGCTGTGACGGGAGAAGTTGTATTGTCGATTCATGTATATTTTTAGCTTCACCACCTAGTTGTTGCTCATGAAAAACCATTTCATCAACATAGAATACATGGTACTGTATATCTTTGAGTAACTACTCAAAGCTCAGGATCTGTTTTCCAAATTCTACATAGACTAGCCATATGCAGTTGAGGCGATGATTCTTTATTAGGGTATCTTGTTTGTGAGAACCAGTCGTAGTCTTTATTATTTGTTTGTGCGTTCATCTCTCCATCTAAGAAATGATCTCTTATCAGGAAAGGTTGTAATAGTTTTTTGCACACTACTTGGCACATAGAACATGTTATTAATCTATCTTTTGTGACTTAAACTTGCTAAACAAAACAACACAACACAATTTAGATTTCTACATGTATGTAAATAATATTGTCTCCAATTTCTAAGCCATGATGCTTTAAAAATTTGTTCCAACCACCACTTTCAAAATAATGCAATCCATCCTCATGCTTACCAACTTTAACCTGTCAAGATCCATGACAGCTTTTCAGACGTGCTTTCTTCATTTCATAGAGGCTTCTAGAAAACTATACTAGAATTGGAAGTCTGCAGTGGAACCCATAAGTCAAACACTTGAAAAATCCTCAGGGAGATGGAATTAACCGTAAATTCGACGCATGCGGGGAGTATCCTATAGACTCCATAAGATCTCATTTATCAAATGAGTGAAGCAATACAATGGCAAAGGACAATGGTGCTTTAGGGAATGTTCAGGAAAAAAAAAACACAGGACCTTTATGGTTTTGTTCTCTTATCACAAGCAGAGGTAAATGGTTAAATATATAGGCTGAAATTGCTAATAGTAGTGCTCCAAGGCAGCATTAGGTCACAAAGAACGGTTGGCGATACCATTTGATGGCATTGATTGGATCTTACATAGGCTGAAATTCCCATTTTCGTCTTCATGTCTAATTTATAAGATTGTTATAACACCATATTCATAGTATACAAATAAATACAAAAAATTTACTAAGATATAAATTATTCATAATAAGAATCATTATTTAATATTTAATCTAGCCTACACAGAGGTAGTGGTTGGCACCAAAGTTGGTCGACAAAGGTGGAGGTGGTGGCCAACTAGAGTTATTTCGGAAAAGGTGCCGGAGGTGTTTGCTGACCTTAGTTTGGTCAGAGGTGGTGGTGGATGGCGCTAGAGTTAGTCATTGGGTGCAATTTGTTGATAGAGGCGATGGTCGGCCAAAATTTGTAAATGGAAACGTGACCGGCAACGTTTGCCTCCTTAAAGGTGGTTGGTCGGCTAGAAATGTTTGTCAAACACCTCGCATCAATGATTAACTCTAAAGAACTTGTTAAAATATGGATAAATGACATTTTATGTAATTTTAGGTTTTTTTAAAAACATTATTGTAAAATTAGATAGTATATTTTAGTGATTGAACTTATTTAGAATAAAGAAAATTATGTTATTATCTTCCACATTATTAAGTATGTTATTGACTTTAAACCAAATCTCCTCCCTTCCTTCTCATAAAATTGAACTAAACAACTCCCTTATTAAGTTTGTTACCTTTTGTTCTCATAGTCATACGAGAAAGGAAGGGTTTACTTCTATGTGTGTCATTCCAAGTTCCTAGCTCAACATACCATGAATTTTGCTTGCAACATGCCAAAGTGGGTAACCCAAGGCACGACGGGCCAAATCTCGCCCTGGCCCAAAAAAGCTTGTATAAGGCTTAGGAGTGGGCACAGTTCGGTTTGGACCGGTTTTGCCTCAAATTGGAATCGAATTCGGTACTATTTATTCGGTTCAGTTTCAACAAAAAAATTTATAAAATCATTCGGTTTGGGTTGAACCGGTTTGATTTTGAACCGGATTATTATTATTATCTTTTCAAATGATTTTTTATACAAATTTCAACTTAAAATTTATTTATTTTGGCTTGAAAATTAACAAATTATTCAATTTCATACAAAAAGAAATATTAAGGCTAGAAAAGAGAGATGTTTTGAAATTGAATTTGGGTAATTATTAGTTATGAGATTAAAAATATAGCATTAGATATAAATAAATATTAAAATTATATATTTTTTAATTTGGCCGGTTTGGTTCGGTCCGGTTCGGTTTGTTGGGAATATAGAATCGGAACTGGAACCGATTGGAACCAGTTCGGTTCAGTTTTTTGGATTGAGTTTGACTTTTTGGTCAACGCCCTTTTTTTTTAGTTTTTTCCGGTCCGGTTTGGTTCAATGATCTGTTCTTTGGTTCTGATGCCCACCCCTAATAAGCCTGGCCCACCAGTAATTAAAATAAATAATGAAAATAATAGTATAGATATATAAATATTCAAATATGTCTAGTAATAGCCTATTGAAAAAAAAAAAAAAAAAAAAAAAAAAA